TTTTTTTCATTTAATTTAAGTTTAATAATGAAATAATTTATTTTTGGTTTAATAATATAACATTTTATAAAGATAATAATTAAGTATTTTGTTAGAACTCAATGATTATCCTAATTATATTTTAGATTTTTATTTTTAAAATGAGATGTTTATCCTGTATTTGATTGTGTTTATCTGCAGTTAGTTACACGAATTCAGTTATGGGGTGAAATCAGATAGAGATGAAATCGGATAGGGATGAACGGGTTTAAGAGTTTAAGAGTTTTTAAGAGTTTAAGAGTTTTAGCCAAATGCTTTATAATATAGTATAGATATAGATAAATAAACCATTGATTTTTTTTAAAATATTTTATTTGAATAAATAAACCATCAAAGTTTTAGAAATTGATTATATACCTACATTCACTACTCTAAAAGACTCGTTACAACAACCGTCATTACGGTGGCTTAAGACTTGTATCTCACGCCATGTTAAGCATGTGACACGCCATGGCCTAATGCGTGGTTCTTGTAACATAATATTTGATTTTCTTTTATCTTTTTAATATAACTTAATGTAAATTGTTTATAACATCGATTCATTGAGTGATAATAGAAAATAAATGTTTTTACGTATAATATTATACATGATATAAAAATTTGCCACCATTAGTTACGGCTTGAAAAACACCATCGCTCTTAAGACTTGAAGCTCGGTCTCACCGCCACGTTACGCCTCATGCAATTTAGAACCTTGCATGCATCACTTTATCGTTCTAAACCCTACGCAATTCAAACTTCTAGCATCCGACATCATCGCCCCCCACCCCAAAAGCCCTATCGCTACCGTTGGCCCCTGCCAAATGCACGTCTCTCGGGACACCGAGAGACCTTACATTCTTACTCTAGCCAACAAATAAACCCAGATATCATTTCACTCTAATACGTTCATTACAGGAACATCGTGAACAAATATATCCAAAAACACAACCATAAAAGCAAAAGGGTTGATATGAAACTTTTGATCTTCAAACACTTGCAGATGGATTAGTAAGCAGTTCAAGAGATTTTTTAAGATAATCAACGGCAACAAAGACGTCATCAAACGCCAACGCTCCAACAGCAAATCTCGCCGCCTTGTGTGCCTCCGCAATTTTCTCAGGGGTAGGTTGGTAATTGCTGTCATACTGATACGACTGGGCAGCGGCCGGTGCAGGTTCCGAAATCGGCCCGTTTGCACCGCTTGGCTTGTACTGAGCTGTAGACGGATGATCACTCGGTCTAGTAGCTGGAGGGGAGTACGGTGTTTCAGAGCCCTGATAGTAAGACGAAGGGTAATGAGCCGGAGCTGCTGGAATGGTAGTTTCGGAAAAACTGGGGTATGATTGGAAATTGGGATAAGTGTAAGAGGCATCGTGAGAAGGGTAATTTTGTGGAAGGTGATGTTGAGGTTCTAGTGGAAAAGATGAGGGATGGTGATAAGTCTGAGAGTAATTCGGATGATCTCCCATGTTGGGGGAAGGATGTTGCTGAAAATGATTGGATGGATAATCATCGGAAGAATAGGTTGGCGGGGGTGGGAGGCTTGAAGATGGCGTAAAATTTGAAGGTGGTGGTGGATGTGTGTTTGAAGATGGTGGCGGCAGATTTGAGGGTGATGGCGGGATGTTTGAAGATGGTGGAGGCATGGTTGAATGTGGTGGAGGTATGGTTGAATGTGGTGGAGGTGGAATATCCGGTGGCGCTGATGAAAAAGTATTTGTAAACTTCTGGGAATCACTTCTATCATACGACTGGGAGGAAGGACGGGATTCTGGTGCATATCCGGTGGTCGAATCACTCCTGCTCGGTTCCATGTCCTGCCAAGAACAAAGTTCAAATATCATACAATTTATTTGCTCATCAATCATCATTCTGCCTCTATCCTGATTAGACTGTATTCAAACATGTCCTGCCAAGCACAACTACTCCATGATGAAAAATGCACAGTTTTAGAAATATGTACTTATTACACTTCTTAATTAACTAGATGATGATTTTACCCTTAATAACATGACTAAGGAACTTCTCCATCTCACAATTCATGGTAGAATTGGAGAGCAGGCACTTACTTTTGAAAGTGGATGTGTATTATGGCACAAACTACAATAGAAATTTGGACACTTATTCAGGGACACAGGGGCTACTTGGTCGTAAATCCATTTGGGCAGTGGGAAATTGTTGGGAAAATCTGAAATTCTCGATATTATCATGTATCCAAGTTCTAGATTTCAGCAATATGTCAATTATATTCAGTCGAGGTAATTTTGTTGTACTTCTGATCACTATTTTCTCTTTCTCAGTGTATTGACGTAGTAGTTTACTCAGGCATCAATAATATTTTCTTAGGGTATATTAGAAGGGGGAAAGCAAGAAAACCAAGCTTTACATAAGTGTGTGATAAAGCAACTAAAAGTTCGGTGCATGTAAGCCATGGCATATTTTCTTTCACTTCATAATTTGTTACAAGTTGCATTTTTAGTTAAAATTGCAACTACCTTACTACCTGGCTGATCAAGCTTGTCCAAGTACAGTAGTTTTACATACAAGTAAAATTTGCAAATGCTCAAATTCAACAAAGTAACGAGGTGGCTATGGAGCTTGAGCTGAACTCAGTCCAATTAAGATACTCAAGTTAAATGTGCAGGATATTTGTTATTTCACACCCCGTGATCAATTCATATAATAAATGTATAATAAAGGCACAGAAGACAAATTACATGTATTAGTGACCAGATGTTAACACCATCTGTGACAATTTTGCTAGCAAGATCAAGAAATGAAGAGATAAACATAAAGGGGAACTGTAAATTACAGTATCTTACATATCCACCGCTTGATGTATCTGACAGATCTTTATCACCGCCAGGGGGGCCTGGTACAGGCTTCCTTCCTTCTTTTATAGCTTTCCTAATATCTGCTGCTTTCCATGCTGCATACTTCTGTTTCTGCTCAAGCTATTAAACAAACCAAATATGATTGATCAAGATCTTTTTTCCTTTTCTCTCTCTCTTAATTAAATAAATATAGTCGCATCAATTAACAAGTAAAAAAGCATCAGATCATCAACATAAAACCAGGACTCACATCAAGTGGAACATCACCAAACTGGTTAAGGATTTCAAAGAAAATGCTGGCAGCATAAAACGTCTTTGCTGTATTGCTGCAGAAAGTTTAAAATTAAGTATTAATATCATAATGATAATAATCATTATTCTCCTCGTTCTATCTGTGCCTGACGGCAAGTGGAGTTTTTTTGTTTGGGGGGTAGATCGAGGGAAAAAAATAATTTATGATCGAAGTTCTTTGCCACAGTCAACAATGGTATTTGCCTCAAAAAAATCATAGGTCACAAATTTCAGCTTTGACAAACCCTTCTTTCAGATCACAATTGCAGAACCATATATGTTATCGATAAATGTCCTGCTATTTATAAAATGAAACCATTGATGATGGAGATTGGAGACCCCTGAATATGCTATGTTGTAAGCTATAAATTATCATAAAAGAAGTGTTTGTGCAACAATGTGTAACTAATAACTTAAGCTGAATATGCTATGTTGTGAGCTGTAAATTATCATAAAAGAGATTGGGAATAATGTATAACTAACATCTTAAGCTAAAAGTCCTTGCATTCTCAATTTATAAGGATGCTATTTAGTATTTACAGAATTACAGGTAACTTGTATGACCTTATCTGTTAAAAAATAAAAGAAACAAACAGATAATACTTCAACAAGAAACTTTAAAAAAGTGGATGTTCAACAAGAACTGGATGCAAAAGTCAAGGACTATAAGAGCCATAAGCAATTAAACAAGCATAAACCACCAAGCCAAAATAAGTAACTGGAACTAATTTCTAAGGTTTGGCGATGGGAAGCTAGAAGTCATTAGCTTCTAATCAGTGTAAGCCTTTTAAGACATGAGAAAACAGATTTACTGGGTAGAAGAAAGTTCATCCAACACAAAAACCTTGCACTGTATATGACAAACCGTTAAGAACTAGCAAAGCTCCATAGTAATTCAACTATGGACGACAACTTTTATTTATAGGATAGCTAGAAAGTGATATTTACTTCTCAAATGCTGGGGGCCAAGACATGTGTACCTCAAAGCTTTTTCAAGCACAAAAACCCATTCTTTAGTCACTAGCAACAAAGTAGTGTTAAAATATGTATCATAAGAAATCATACAGATCAGCTCTCCCAGCTCGGTCTTGCTTATCAGCCTTTGCAAAGACATTTGAAGCAAATCCTTCCAGGTGGAAATGGTCATCTGGCCCCAACTGCAATGACTTCTTATCCTGAAAATGAACAAGCACCCTAGATGATGGAAAGAGAACAAAAAAGTTGATGCTCACAGAAAACAAAATTACCTAACACCTACACAAAATATTACTTCAAATCATTACCAAGAACAATCAGTATCCACTGCCACAAAATGAGAACTGCAATAGTTTTCGTAGTTTTTTAGTTGCAATACAATTTCCAAAATGTATAGGATTGTTAACTATAAGTCTGAATTAGCCACGGAATTTCTAACTATGTAATCCAACCTATCGGACAACTCTAAATCATGACATAAGCTCAGAACAGATAAATAATCATCGATTGACTAACAATTAGAACCAATGTTTCAAGTACACAACCCTCTAAAGATAATTCAGCTTACAAACTGAACTCGCTATGTTCAAAAGTAAATTATCAACAACAAATTACCAGCGTGATAGATCCTCATAATCTAGTAATAGAACCAAAACTTCGAAAGATATAGGCGTTAAGAATCGGACCTTTTCAAGTTGTTTCATGAGGGAAACAAGGAGGGAACTGGTAGTTTTTGTCCGTTCACTCTGAGGAATCCTCAAACCTCGTTCCATCGCATACAATCGACCTGAAAATTGAAATTCCAGAAGAAAACCACAGATTAATAACAGCGATCAAGAATAATAGGGTTTAAAGTAAAATTGAGATATGGAAATCAAAATTTTATACAGTAGTAGGCGACCAGAGGCTCGTGCTTTTGCAATTCATCCGCTCGTTGAAGGTAAGGTAACAGTAGCTTCGCTGGTTCGTTCTCGTTCGCCATTGTTATACACGTTCAACGCTCACAAAGGGAAAGGGGGAAACCAGGGGGTTTTGATCGAGGTTGGCCTTGAGTTGCTTACTCCACGAAGAAAAGATATTAGTGAACATACGACGTCGTATTGTATATTCAATTAGAAATTTTAACCCATAAGCTTTTTTACCCCTTTTTCTTTTCGTATTTGTTGTAAATTGCTACTATGTCGTATCAATTAAGTTTTTTTAATATATAATATTTATATACGATAAATATAAAAAATAAACTCATAAAGTTTTTACATCTTTGATGAGGTTTGAATTCTTGACCTTCTAGGAAGTCAAAGACTACAATACCGCTAGACCAAAAGCCCTTCGATACCTTGCACAAAATTGTTAACATAGGGCATAACCTTTGTTAGTAAATTTGGTTTGAAGGGAAATCTCGACATCCTATGCTCGAAAACACACTGTTAACTCATGTATTTTGATGAGTTATCACTCTATGCCAACAAGTATATATCTGATTTGATACATACATCGATATATTGTTTTTACAATTTTTCTTTATACAGTATCCTCCGTGTTCCGAGACAAACCTTGGAAGATAAGAAATAGTTGTTTTAAATAATTATTTGCTCCTTTTAAGTATTTATGAAACCCTAGTGGTACACCAAATCTATGAAATAGCATCTCAATTATCATGTAGCCATGTAGGTTTGTCCACGGGTTAACAGACCTAAAAAGTGTAATTCTTATAGATCTATAAACATGATCACTAGCAATTAATTAACAAATGTGGTACCAAAAAGTAAAGAAAAAAATACTGTTGCAATTAAAATTTTAAGCAACTAAAGTGACACATGGATCTCAACAAGTGGAGAAAGAAATGAAAAACTGAATTCAACTTCCATAAAATCAATAATTCGTTCCTACTTTTTTTAATACGTATAACATGAATATTCACATTAAGAGGTAAAAAACCAACCCCTTAGTCTTTTCGGTTCTCAAGAATAATTAAAGAGTCACACCCTATAACTTCAATAATTTAATTTTAAAATATATTAGTATAATTTTAATTAATGGTAAAAAAACATTAATTACAAAATATAAACAGGCTGGACAGGCTTGTCCATTTATATATTTTTGCATTGCCCATGTTCGTCCATTAATTTTAACGAACAAACTTTGGCTCATCCATTTTCTCAATAATGGTTGTCAAAGCCCGTAATTCTAGCGGACCAGATAGACCGAGTCTAACGAATCGATTTTATTAATAAAAATTGGGTTATCAAAAAATCCCTTAAAATTTGTAGAAAAAATATATTATTTATATTAATTTATTTTTGAACAAATTTTTTATATTAATATGTCATATAATTGCAATATACAACCAAAAGCTCTTCAAAAACTTCAGTATGTTGAAAAAACCCCAAATTGAGGTTTTTCCACTTTCGAAAACCTATGGATGGTCAAAATCAAGAAGCAACACTTCAGTATATCTCACTCAAAACTAAAATCAGATCTTCTATTCTACCCGAGCAGATGTTTCTATGAAAACTAACCATTGGATGGTACCAATGTCACGCTATTCACCGTTAAAAGCTGAGTATATTAAGACGAAACAGTATATATGATTATCGATATATTTCAGTTATTTAAAGACGACTTTTAAGCATCATTTTTCGATATAGCCACATAGTTCAAAGGAGCCACGGGTCTGATGTGGTCCCTCTTGCCATCTTTATTCACAGACCTAGACCCCCCGTTTTGATTCAACGACAGCCGTCTGTTAAGCCGTGAGCCTGCCACCGCCTTTTTCGAGCTAGTAAGGGGCCGGGCAGGGCTTGGTTTGGAACCAAACATGGCTTCTTGCTCTGTGTTCAACTGTTCATGGAATTTCTTCTGATCCTGTCAAAATTCCAAAATCAGCCCATGTTTTAAGAATGAATGTGTATATATGTATGTGTGTGTGTGTATATATATATATATATATATATATGTGTGTATATAGGCCAAAGATCGTGTGAGAATAGGAGTTAAGATGAGAAGCAAGAGATCTGGACCCTTAATCACATTTTAATCTCACCCCCACCCATGAATTGCGCTTCGCTAGAATCGATCTGGTGCACCGCATTAGTGTTGATATTCAATTAGGATTGATTCAAGGGTGGTGATCCCTTCTTACCCTTCTCACCGTAACTTCTATTCTCACCGGAACCCAACCCTATGTGTGTGCGTGTATATATAGGGGCTTAATCATTTGAAAAACTCGAAAATTTGTGGGATCCGTGAAAATTTCTATATTAAGGTTTTGTTTCAGATATTTTTTCCATCTAAGTATAGTATTTAATGTATTGATTAACATATATCTGTTTCATATGTATTCGGTTCACAATGTGAAACTTTTTTACATGAGATTTTTGTTTCACAAAACACGCTAGAAAAGTTCACATTATAAACCACGTATATGTGAAACAGATATAGGTTCATCACTACATTAAATTCTAGCCATAAATGAAAAAATCATAAAAAATAGCACATGATGCCATGATTTAGAGTGTTCAAAAGAAGGAGACTATATATATAGTCCCCTTCTTTTACAAAACTAATAATTCGTGCAAACTTACAAACCAGTTTCTATGTGTTGTTTTATATATGAAACAACACATGTGAAAATGCAGTGTCCATACACTTTTCATATGACTACATTTTAGCACCTGTTGTTTTATATGTGAAACGATACATGAAAACTGGTTTGTAAGTTTGTATAATTTATTGGGTTTGTGAATGATTATGCATCTATATATACACATTACAGGGGTGAAATACCGAGACTGACCCTCATTCGTCTTTTCTGTTCTTCTCTATCGTGCCTCAGCACTGCATATTCGTTCAACATGGCGAGCAGTGGAACACCATTGTAAGCAAAAGTCAGTCCATGTTCCTCTTCCCATGTTCGAGTTTTAGCAACCAATGTGTCAACAAGAGCTGCATACACACACAGATGCAGCCAACAACCATAAAAAAGAGTGGACCAAAATGCAAAGTATAGAAACCAGACAAACCCAGTAAATCCCGCACAGAGGTAGGGTGTATGCACACCTTTTCCTCTATCCCGGCTTGTAAAACCAAAAATTAGATAAATGAGAGACCAAGCTACAAGTAAGGTATGTGCAATCAAGTGAAGGCACCAGATAAGGTCAACCAAATGGAGACTTGCATAGTTGCACTTGCACTAATTGGGGGCTGTTTACCTACTACTGACCGGTGCTGATTGAGTCAACACACTGGACAGGACATAACAGCACAGAAGAAAGATCACTGTTTCACGTTTGACAAAACTTTTATGTGGAACAGACAAGAACAAAGTGGGACAGGCAAGTTCCACCTCCACTCCATGGAACAAAGTGGTATAGACCTATATTTTACCAATATAACCTCAAAATAAAACCTAATTCTCTTCTAATAGATCAAATACGCCCCCCTCTTTACATTTTAATTTATTCTTTAAATTTTATTTATTGTATTTATGCTCTCTTAACTTTCACTTTACTGTCCTCAAAAATCAAAATATTATTTTTATACGGTTTCCATATTTTGATTTATTCATGTTACTTATTGAATATTAATAAATAAAAATAAAAATTGGAAACTACATAAACTTTTTATTTTTGTGTCATTTTAGTCGTTTGACGAAAACTTTCTAATGATATATTTTGTTAAAAAAATATTTATTTTATTATAATTTGAAAAATTACATAAATTAATCAAAATATATAAACAACTCAAGGGGTAAATTGGTCATTTTATATGTGCTGTCTTCTCCAGCTCTGTCTTCCCAAACGCGGAACAACTCTTCTGTCCTATTCTATCCTGTCTGGATACCAATGCACCCTTAAAGACCAATCTGAGTATCTAACTGATGGTTCTAACCAAACCTTACACGGTCACTATTACTATTTCACTTATCCGGTCAGCAAAAGATGATAAATGTATTTTATCAGTAAGCAATTACACCCTCACCCGGTTAGCGGTTACCCAATTTGTGTTGACAAACGGCCAATAAGAGACTGAAAATTTATTTCATACAAACCCTCAAGGAAATTGTAAGCATCTTAGTACCAAATAATCATTAAATCCTCTTAACATCACATTAGATTATATTTGCCTATCGGTTACCTGGAATTTTGCTGACCAAAATTCTGGCCTTTTCAGCTCGTTTGAGATTCAAATGTGCGCCTCTGCTTCCATGGTACCTGTTGTCATCCTGTCGTGCATATCCCCAAACCATGAATGAAATTAGAAATGTATCTACAAAAATTTAGGTTAGATAATTATGGTTAAAAGACACAAAATTCTGGGAGGTAGCAAGTAACGGACCCTGTTGTAATCCTCGAGCCAACTCTCTTCTTCGCTTGCTGACATCCACTTCTCAACTTTATCCAATATATCTTTTCTACTGAGAGCTTCTTCTTTTGCTTTGACAATCTGAGCATCCATGTCAGCAAGCAACTCAGAAGGCTCCATATTCCCAGAATCAATCAAAGCCAAAATTTTCTCCCTGGCAGACTGTGAGTCAATCTCTATGTGTGCACGGGTGAAAATCTCTTCAAGCTCCCCTTGCCTCTTAAGAGTGATCTCTTTCATTCTGCTAGTTTTCAATTGATCCAGTCTTGCAACCTCCACCTCAGCCTTGAAAGAAAATAGGTAATATCAATAATCAATAATTATAGTTTCTTTATCTTGGTTGCCTTTTCAATTACCTACTTCTGCTTGTATGTTCTTAATTCTAACTCGATTTTCTTGTTTTCTTGTTTCAGGTTCTTTTTTGATCCCTCTATTTCTTTGGGGAATCTTTCTATCTATTTCACACACTTCTCACAAGCCGGGGTCTTCACGTATAACCGCTCTACTCTTTGAGGGTAGAGGTCAAGTCTGCGTACATCTCACCCCAAGACACCACCTTCAGGTGGGATACAATGAGCTCGTATGGTTTGATCAAGATTTATTGATTGTATTCATTTTATACTCTCATAAATTTTGAATTTTAGATACCTGTTCAATCAAATACATAGCAAGAGCCCCTGGGATAGTCACTTCATCAACTGAAGCCGAAATGTTGCAGGTAATATGATCAAACAAACTCCTATCTTCTTCAGATGTATCCATCAAATTCCAAAGGTCGGTTAACTGAGCTGCTAACTCTTGAAGCTGAAACGGAAAGAAATTTGTCAAATGCTAAGGGGTGCATTGTTGGAGTATAAAGAAGGTCATTTTCATTTTCAGGTGATGAGTAACATACTAACATCTTAAGATGGATTTTAAGAGGAGATAGTGAACCTTTACATACCAATAATCTTTTTGAACCTTTACATTTCACAGAATTGTGCTAGCTTGTTATTTAAGAGCAAAATGCATCAAAATGCAACAAAGTTTGGTTTAGTTCCTTATTTAATATACCAAATAATTTCTTTTCTAGGTCGATGTAACAAAGTTTTAAATTTTCCTACTTTGCACACATTTTGATTGATGACGTGTGATCTTGTAACATTTGATGTCGTGGATACCCGTTTATGAAATGTTTACTGCCAAGTGGACAATAAGCTTGGCATCCACGTCGTCAAATACTACAAAATAGGAAATCTTGAAACTTTGTTACATTAATTGAGAAAAAAAATAATTCTTTGTTACACTAAATAGGAACCAAGGCAAACTTTGTTGCATGTTGCCCAAAGTTAATGCAAAAATCCTAATCATTTGCAGGGATAACCCATAACAAGCTTCTTTGATGTCAAAGTTCATCCTATAGAATACATATATACACAACAAGAGAAAATGCAAAAAAGCTTCTAGAAATGATGGTATGCGAAAGACTATGAGAAGTGAAGATGTGAACAATTTCCTAATGCTCTTAAAAGCAATTAGCAGTGAAAGTATGTACCTTCTGTAACCTTTGCTTCTTAGCTTCTTTCAAAGCTAAGACAGTCTTCGCCAGCCTGGCTAGTGTGTCGTTACTTATGCTTTTAGATTGTATGCTAGTGGCATCATTTAAGCTAGGATGAACTTCGGTGACTGTACTGTAAAAATCAATCCCAAGGACAGCACAAATATCATGTACAATGTTCACAAATTCAAGAACCTTGTTCAATCTCTCGCTCTGCAAACAGAGCTCGACATTAGTCATCTTATAGCATATCATAATACCTGCATTCTTTCTGATCAAGAGATATTCTAGAGAACTACTTTTACCTTTTCGTGCTGAAGTTCTTGCAGATGATCATGAAATTCGTCTAATTTCTTCAAGGATAGATCAGACTCATCAACTGCAAGTTGTCCTCCGGCCTGCTCATTACTCCCTGCAATTTCTCCACGTATCTTTTGTATTTGTGTCTGCACATCTGAGAACTCCTTTATTCTCTCCTCCTTCTGCTTCCACAATTGTTGGAGAGCAGGTGCAATGGCAGCAAGTTGTTCCTTGATGGTTCCTGAAGTCTTCTCAGGCTGCAAATTGAACCCCAAAAAAGCAAAAAGGAGTCATACATTACAAATATCATAGTACATTTCCTGACTTCGAAAGTAGGCGAAAGTTCAAATTAGAACCATAAATAATTTAAGAATCATGAGGACTAGTATGTGCATGTATATACATATGCATTGATGCATATGCACTATTACAATATGTATTCGTCATAGTATATTCATCATTGGATATGTATATGCAAGTAGGGTCAGGTTCAGCGGAAAACCGCAAAAAAAATGAAAAAATGAGAACGCCCTAATAACCATTTATCTGGACCGTATGCACATGTTCATAAGAGTAATATGTAAGCAATTTGTCCGGTATATGCACATGTGCATAAAAACCAAGAAACAACTTCAATTACTTGTATGCACATGCAGTCAAAATAAATAGTTACCAGGGTGTTCCTCCGTTTTTTTATTTTTTTGGGGTTTCCCCCGAACCTCCCTCTATGCAAGTATATGTGCATTGGTGCTTATACTCACTGAAATTCATGTAATGTATATGCATCAATGCGGTTCTCAAAATATTTATGGTTCTCATTATAACGTTCCCCTTCAAAGAATAACAGCAACAGATAAACTCCAAAAAGTGGATGCAACCCATTACTCACAATGCCAACAAAGGATTTCTCTCCAAGGGATGCAAGAAGAGTGGAGAATTCAAGTTTAGCATCTGCCAGTGACTGAAGCAGGTGTGCCCTTGATTTTGCAGCCTGTTCCACTTTCCTTTTATACACATTCAAGCACTCTTGCTCTAACTGAAGAAGCATCTTATCCCTTTCCTCATCATTTTCACCAACCTCATCCCAAATTTTCTGAATTAACACAACAAATTCACTTTTTGGAAGACAAACAAGTTGTTATAAAAGAAAGTGAAATGAACATATGAAGGTGGTCAACAATAAAGTTGGCAATCGCCGGGATAATGCATATTTTACCTGCAATTGCTGCATTAAAGAACGACAAGTTGTTTCTCCAAGAAGAGGACTTTGAACATCAACCCCTGTCATCTGTATCAAAATCAGAATACACCAAAAGTCAGACTATTTAATTCAACTTGATATTCAAATTAGACGCTGAACTCCTGAAAAGGAATTCAGTATCAAAAATCCAAAAAGTTGCTGGACATCAATATCAGATAAAAGATAAACAAACCAAATTAGGCACATCACACATTAACAAAATCGGTAAAAATCCTAAACTAAGCAGTGATGATACAAAATTTAAAAGTTCTTCATTAGTCAATCTATTAATTTCCATCTGCACTTCACAAAAATCCAAGATCAATAACCTTAAAACCGAAAACACACTTACGCAATTCGCAACTCTAAACCTTTCTGTCGTTACACAAATGTACGTCAATATATGACCAAACAACACTACATTTGCATCGAATCAAGTGTCGTTACGAACTTCAAACGTCATAGATCTCGATAAAAGCACCGAATTCAAGCCAAAAGAAGAAAGAACAGAGTGTACTCAAAGTACACAATCATATCAAAATTGCACAAAAACTAGTACATCAGTACCAATAATGAAATAAAGAAGAAATGCTTACGACAAACGTACACTAGATTAGGGTTTTCTCGAAGCTTCGTATTCAGAATTCTTACAGTCTCCCCGCCTTTTTTGGAGAGAGAGAGAGGGGAGGGGGGACAGAAGAAAACGGAGCGTGTAGGAGGAGATTGTGAAAGATACAGTCGTTCAGTTATCAATTGTTTTTTTGTTGTCTGCAAAAGAATTTGAATTTTTTATTAAATAATTAACTAAAATGCGATTATTTTAATTTTAATTATTTAAAATTAATTGATTGATTTTAGGAAAATAGAGTAAGATTGTCTCTCTCCCCGACTCCGTCTCAATTTACTGTTTAGCCATATTTTTAAATCAGGGGATATTTGTTTTTGTAACATGATAGTTTTATTAAGAGACAGTCTTTGAATTGTTAAGAAGTGGATTATGTTTGGCAAAAAAAAAGTATGAGTTTGTTTGTTTTTTCAAAGTCACCTCTTAATATCTCTGAAGTCTGATATGTTCAGATGTTTGGGTATTAAGAGCGTTTGTTTTATTTCTAAAATAAAAGCTTAAAAGCTCTAAATGTCCCCTGAAATTTTAAGTGACTCTTAATATCTCTTAATCATAATCCGTCCTCTACCAAATGGTTCGTATTTTGGGGGATGAAAAAGATTTGTTAACAAAAACTACTTATCTTTTATACTTTTGTAAATAAATAAAAAACTATGTCTTTTATATTTTTGCACCAATTTGACCGAATTAGATTTCAGACTTCAGATGTAATGAATAAACAATCTTACTGATCCAGTTTCAGACTTCAGGATTACCTCTTATAAATCAGAATTGAAATCAAACTTCAGCACCTCTTAAAAAACAAGCGTCACCTAAGTCTTTTAATGATTCTAAAATCATCTGAATTATTGTGTATTATGAGCCTCTCTTAACCGTTCAACGCCGTTTCATTGTAAACAATTACCAAACAATTATATTTCATTTTGCACTATATAATGAAAGTCTCTTAATCATTCTGATCATTTAAACATTCTGCACCAAACCATTCACCAGCTGCCAAACAACCCCTAATAATTTAAACTCCTCTGAATGATTAAATGCTATTGTTTTATGCATTTGTATAAACCATATTCTTTCAGCTTTATTCCCGACTTGAAATCCATAACAAACTTCAATTGTTGAAGATAATGTCCCGATGAACCTTCGTAAGACAATGCACAAGTCTTTTGACGGCTTTTTAAAGCTTATTGTAGACCAATCCTTTTTTTTTATTAACATGGATATCCAACCCACTATGCGAGCCGACTAATCACAGGGCGACCACCTGTTTTGCAGATAGCCCGGAATCACCGCATTTGAACATCTGTGGCCACAAGGGGATTTTTATTCCTCTTTTGATTTGAACCTGGGACCTCCAGATACTTTTGACATTTGGAGCCAAGCTCAAACCAATCAGGCACCACCCTTGTGATTCAATCCTTTCGTCAATTAGTCATCTTCGTAACGCAACAAACCCATTTAAAAGGGTTTTTAATAGTAAAACGTCATTTATTAGCTTGCATTGGAGATGCTCTGAGGAGCGAGAGCATGAGAAACCTCTCATATTGAATGATAAAAATAAAAGAAAAAAATAAGCATTAACGTAAATAAAAAAAAAGGTACAAATTTACGTTAAAAATTTGCACATTTACTTAAACATATGCCTAAAAATTAAAGCGGGGCGGAGAAATTGACTATTTCAATCAGTTTTCTTTTATTTTATATATTATTTTTAATGGATTAAATGTTAATACCATGAAAATAACACATCAACAAGTTGTAGAAAATTGACCACGTTATAGGGATGATGATTTGCCCCGACCCGGTGGGGAACCCAGCTCATCCGACCTGAACAGGGACGAGGATTTTCCGCTAAAATGGGTCCCAGGACCGGGGATCCTCGGTAGACTCAAACCGAGTTGGGTCTGGGGCCGGGTAGCGTATTTCCCGACCGGCCCCGTACCCAGTATATAGTTTTATTAATATATTTTATATAATATATGTATGTATATATATTATTTAATTTCTAAAATTAGGTCTTGACTGGAGACGAAGATCGGGGTTTGACCAGAAAATAAACTTGGGACGAGATATTAATTCTCGTACCCGTTGGGACCGGGGTTGGGATTAGAAAACTCGCCCCATCTCCACTCCCTTGTCATGCCTACCTCATTCAACAATTAGCAAATTATTTATTGTTTTATAAAAATAAATAATAGTCTTGAATCATATTTATTTAAGAAAAAACATAAAGTCGTATTTAATTAAGGAAAAAATGTAACCGTCATATTTATTTAAAGAAAAAAAGTAGAATCGAATTTATTAAGGGAAAAAAAAAGGCAGGCATATTTTATTTAAAGAGAAAAGGTAGATTCATATTTATTTCAGGAAGAAAAAAAAGTAAGGGGCGTTATCCGGGTAAATGTTTATCAAATTACATTATCTTATTGGATAAATATAGTAAGAACCAAGATCCTACCCGATAAGAACGAAATAAGGACTATGAGTCTTACCCAGTAAGTGATGGCGACAATTCTTACCGCGGTAAGCGTTTACTGGGTAAATTGTTATATACGACGTCGTTTTGGTGAACTAAAATCTTACATGAGAAGTAAATAATAGTGTTAGATTTTACCAGTAAACACTTACCGGATAAGTGTTTGGTAAACGGCCTCTAAAATTATATATATTTAAGGAAAAAAAGGTAATATAATATTATATTATATTATATTTATAACCACCGATTGGTTTGAGCTTGGGCTCCAAAGATCAAAAATATCTTGAGGTTCTAGATTCAAATACAAGAAGAAACAAAAATCCCACTATTGCCACGGAGGTTCAAGTATGATGACTCCGGGCTATTCGCAAAGCAGGTGATCTGCAAACAAAATGAATCCAATAAATTCATATCAAGTAAAGTCTAAAAAAGACGAAATGTATGAAGTCAGTACCTTCATTCCTATAAATAAATATTGTTTTCATGAATACAGCTTATAAGTTTCTATAAACTGTAAGATTTACTGGAAAAAAATTGTTTCTAACAATTTCAGACAATAATCGTAAAAGAAAAAAGATTTTATCTCTCGAGATGTTGGATTGCCTCTGCCTAGTGGACCTTCAGATGAGCTTCTCGTTTTTTTCTACTGGTTCTGTTTTGGTTGGATTGTTTGTAGTCTTCTTGGTTTTTTGCTTCTGTTTTTTTTAACCTGGATATCCAACCCGTTATGCGAGCCGACTAATCCCATGACGACCACATGCTTTGCAGATAGTCCGGAGTCACCGCATTTGAAACTTCGTGGCCACAAGAGGATTTTTATTCCTCATTGGATTTGAACCTGAGACCTTGGTACTTTTGACATTTAAAACCAAGCTCAAACCAATCAGGTTTCACCCTTCTGATTCTGCTTATGTTCTCTTCTGTCCATTTTCTTTGGTTTGGTGGATCGCTGCACTTTGTAATGGGTGCAGCGATCCATTTTTAGTTATAATTTTTTCTGTTTTTTTAATAAACATTGTTGTTTTTGAGAAAACGATTTTAGACAACAAATTGGAAGAGAAAAAAAGAGATCAAGCTTTGGACAAAGGAGTCGGTTTTTGCTACGCTTTTAACTTTAAACTTACGAGAGGGTCTTTGGATTAGCGGTATTTGAGCCTCTTGCCTTCTTAGAGGTCAGGGTTTAAATCTCACTGATGATGAGAAGGGTGTGTGAGTTTATTTCTTGCATTTGTCGTATATAAAATATATTATATACTTTAATAAAAACTTTAAACTTTAAATCATTGTTTTTCATTCAAAAGCATGTCATAAATTAATTTATAATTATCGTATAAAATACCAAAAATAATAAAAGAAAATGCTATTTTATACTTTTTGAGTTATATATTCATATAGAAATAATTGTTAATGATATTGATTTTATTAATCATTTTTATGTTTTTTATTTGGTATTTTATTTTAAAGATAATCATTTATTTATTAGAAAATTACATGAAAAAGTAACGTATTTTAACTTGATTCTTATTTTGGGTAACATACTTTTAAAATTTTCATTTTGGTATCTAATATATAAAGTTTTAAACATTTAAGTACCCGAATAACCGGTTGAAACATTAACCGGTTAGGCGGTTACCATGCTGATGTGAACGTGATATTTAACTCAGTATTATTTGTTGAAGCATTAACCGGATACTATATCACTCGCCACATCAACATGGTAACCGTTTAATGCTCCAATCGTTTATCCGGATACTTAAATGTTTAAAACTTTATATCTTAGGTACCAAAATGGAAGTTTTAAAAATATGTTACCCAAAATAAAAATCAAGTTAAAGTACTTAAACTTTTTCATGTAATTTGCCCTTATTTATTTTGTTTTGTTTAATTAGAATGAATCAAAAGTAATATAATTATATACGTTGGATATGTTGAATTATGTTCTAAAATATTTCTTTTTTGAAGAAAATTACGTTTTAATCGGTTTTCTTATCAACAATTATTAAAGGCCCAAAGGACAAAACGTAATTTTGATTAAAAAGAACTTACTAAAACAAATGTTTTCTTAGAGACCGTTTACCTAAAAACTCACCGGTAAGCTCTTACTTATAGAGTAAGTTTTTAGTTTACCAAAACAACATCGTATGTAAGTGCTAACTTTAGTAATAGTCGTTGTCTTCACTTACCGAGTAAGACTTTCGGTCCGTGTCTTCGCTCTTACCAGGTAAGATTCTTGATTCTTGTCATATTCACCCAGTAAAGAAATGTGACTTGGTGAACGCTTAACCTAGTAAGCATTTGGTAAACGGCCCTTTACATTATCTATATTATATTACGAAGCATTTGACAAACCATTTTTTATGCATGAAGTACTGTTTATTGATGCATATTACTTAAAATTCAAGATTACAAATAAATTGTACGTAAGTACAACTTATTAAAGCTTCATGTTTGAATTCATGTAACTAACTGCAGATAAACATTATCAAATAAAAAATATACATTTCATTTTAAATATAAAAAATATAAAATATAATTAGAATAATTATTGAGTTCCAACAAAATACTTTATTATTATCCTTTAAAAAATTATATTATTAAATCAAAAATAAATTACTTCGTTATTAAATCAATATTAAATTATAATAAAAAATTGAATTGAATAAACTGCACAAAAAACAAGAACTTTTAAATAGTTAATTTGATACTGATGTATTTATTTTCGAAATTTTATGATATTTTCAAATTTATATTTTATTCAAAAATAAAAACATTTTCCATTTCTCAAAACCGCATAAAAACAGTATTATAACATCTACATAGACGGAATAAAATGAAACATTAAAATCTAGATATATCTCGCATCATTGCGCGAGTACCCTTCTAGTTATTATGAATGTATGAACTAATTTAAATTCGAGACGTCCACATCTGCATATACCAAATAATATGAAACGGGGTGTCGAAAACGCTACACCACCATCCACCAGACGAACAAATAACACCCATAACCACATAATACATGATAAGCATCCTACTAATACGACAAAAAGCTCCACAAAACTGATAATCCATATAAAAAATAAAATCTAAACGGGAAAAAAAATAAAACGAAGTAAGAAGCAAGATCGATGGTTCAAGTTCTTGACTTCAAAAATTGAGAAGCATGACGTTGTATCACGTGGATACACAACTACTAATAAAAAACCGTTTCATTTAACCCCTATGTATCACTTTAATGACCACTATACCTCGATTAATACATAACTCAACTAGTGACGTATTCCGTTTGCTCTCAATTGGTCACCAACTCAGCGTGAGGTTTTTGTGGTTGTTAACTTCAAGGCTTCATGAGATCAGTTAAGGTGCACACAAGCTGACCATAACCCAAACTCCAACAGTTTTTTTTTTTTTGATTAACTTGGATATCCAACTCGTTATGCGAGCTGACAAATCCTAGAGCGACCACCTGCTTTGCAGATAGCCCGGAATCACCACATTTGAACCTCCGTGGCCACAAGAGGATTTTTATTCATCCTTGGATTTGAACCTGGGACTTCCTGGTACTTTTGACATTTGGAGTAAGCTCAAAACAATCAGGCACCACCCGAACAATTATTACAAATATACATACGGAACAATAACGAATTAAATTCTCTAGGTGTAACGATAATGGGTTCCGTTGAGATTGAGAAATCGTTCATTAATTTCTCGTCTTTGCTACAGAGGTTCTTGTTCAGTTACAGCCGAAACTTACAAATACTCAGATTGAAGTTTTGTTCAATAAATAGCTACTAATGACTCCTGCAACAATCAAACAGGATGGAAAAACACAAGACAGGCACCTGGGAACAAAAATGTGTCTTTGGCTGCTTCATGTTTGTGATCATTTGGTTACATACTCAATATCTGCATTTTCTCTCAACCATTCCAGCACTTTTGCCCCTTCTAATACCTCTTGCACCTAACAACATTCAACAAAAAGATGACTGTTTCGGTTAGAATCTGACATTGGCTAGACTTTGACTATTTCTCTTTTATATAAGTTAGAACATCCCTGTTTTCCTAAGGGACTCTTTTTGAAGAGTAATCTAATGGGGTTCTACGTTTTCTCACAGTTTCATTTGAAAATTATGCTGTGGAAACTACAGACCCTTTTCGATGGGACAATTCGACATGGACCATATATGTAAATCACACAAATTAGGTTTCGGTGGAAATTTACCAAACCAAACGAATTCAGTTTATCCCAAATAGGCGTAGGGTCTAGGGGGTAAGATGTATTGAGACTTTGCCTCCATCTTAAAGGGTAGAGAGGCTGGTTCCGTTAAAGTGTTGATCGAAATTTGTGAATGCCATTTTGAAGGTGACAAGAACAAATGAAGGTTCAAAGGATTATTGGGTAATGCCCAGCCTCTCTCTGAGAAGGTCAAAAGGTTCAAACCTCACAAAAGGTGAGGAGTCTGCGTGAGTATTTTGCATTTACATATATATATATATATATACATATATATATATATGGTCAGGTTTAGGGGAAAACAGTAAAAAAAATAAAAAACTGAGATACACTATGCACATGTGCATATAAATATTTCGTATGCAATTTGTCTAACATGTGCATACTGTCAAGATGAACGGTTACTAGGGTGTTCCTAAATTTTTCATTTTCTGGGGGATTTCCCCTGAACCTCCCTCTCTCTATATATGTGTGTGTATATGTGTATAGAAAAGAACGAAGGGTTTAGGGGAATGAGTAAAAAACCTGCTCTTGAATGCTCTCCTCATCATACTCCTGCTTGTGTTTTTTGAACTCAGCAACGGAGTTCTCAACTTCTTTCACAAGCTCATCAGTTGAAAACTGTAACATCAATGTTTTTGGTAACTTGTCATAAGTTTCATATCGACGCATATGTTATGATAAATAATAATCTTTCAGAAAAATGGGTACCTGCAGATTTTCGCGTTTGAAAATGTCTCCAACGGCAATATTCTGTTTTATTATGTTTTCTATGTTCTCCCTCTGGTTTTCCAAGAACTCTCTCACTGCCGTTGGGCCTGAAAGCGTTGCCAATTGTTCTTCATTTAGTTTCATGTTTGCCTGCGCGCACATAAAATTGAACATAACACACATGATCACACATTTAACTTTTCAGGGTCATAGAGCATTCTTCTATCTATATTAAACTACTAAGGGTGTGTTTGGTATGCAAACAGGTACAGAAAGACAAAAGTGAGGTAGGCAGATGAAAGAATTGGGCAAGTTTTAGGTTCTAATTTAACATGGGTATTTTAATAATTTACCAATCTTGGCTCATCTCCTTGATTTTTTTTCCACCTATTGTGGTTGGACAAAAAAATGCATTTTTATCCCACTCAGTCCAATTTTGTCCCGATCTATCAACACAACAAACGTGGGATAACAAGTTTTTGTATTGTCCTATCTGGACAGGACAAAACAAGAATCACCGTTCCACATTTGACAGGACTTTTATGTGGAGCAGACAGGAACAGTGGAACAAGGTGGAACAGACCTATATTTTACCAATATAACTTCAAAATAAAACTTAATTCTCTTCTAAAACATCAAATACGCCTCCTCTTCACATTTTATTTTAATTGTTTTGACGAAAACTTTCTAATGATATATTTTGTTATAAAAAATATTCATTTTATTATAAATTACATAAATTAATCAAAATATATGAACAACTCATTAGGGGTAAGTTGGTTATTTTATTTATTTCGGCATGTCCACTTCTAGTCCTTACCAAACGCTGTTTGGGCTGTTCGTTTGCCTCTTAATGGTGACATTAAGAGGGAGCCTCTTAATCGGTAAGAGGCAGGGGCTGTTTGGCAAAAGAAATTGAACCTCTTAATGGTGACAATTACCTCTTAACCATTTTGCATCTAAGGGGCTGCCTAATGGTTCAGAGCCTTAACTTTCCAGGATTACCCTTCACCCATCTCCTTCATCATCGTTCCTCCTCCAGCAACCTCTTTGTCGAAAGCACCAGTTTTAGCATCATCATCCAGCAACCTGTTTGTCGTCACCCCTAACCCCAACCTCACACTTCCACCATTAATGGCATCTTCCTCCTCAATCCATTTCTCATAACCCAAAAGCCATGCCCTCTTTCTTGGTTTTCTCTCTCCCTTCCTAATCCCTTCAACTTTAATCCGTGACATGATAATTGTCCTTGGATTAGTTTCATACCTGATGAACGGCGTCGGCACCTGTTGAAGGAAAGCAGCGCCTGCCGGAAGAGAACGTCGATCGGAGCGGAAAGAAAGCAGCGCCTGCCGGAAGAGAACGTCGATCGGAGCGGAAAGAAAGCAGCGCCTGCCGGAAGAGAACGTCGATCGGAGCGGAAAGAAAGCAGCGCCTGTCGGGAGGCAGCGGCGGCTAAGGCTGGCGACGGAGGGAAGGAGAGAGGGCAGAAGAACCTAGCAGGAAAGGACCGACGATTGGTAATCCCTTCAACTCCGACGACGACCAAACATCCCCTCCTCACTCCCCCACCGCCAAACCAGACTTCTCCCTCATCACCCAAACCATCGGCCATCAAATTTCTAAATTCGCTTCCAATTTGCTTCCATTTGGTAAAGGGGGTGATGAAATTGAAATTGAAATTGACGCTGTGGGGATTACCAATGATGTATACCCATATTTGATTTTTGTTACCTATTTATAATACAAAAGGTTAAAATGGTAATTTGTTGATATTCAGAGAACATTTACCAAACAACCATATTTCATTCAGCACTTAACCATTCTGACCCTCTTAACCATTCTGACCACTTAACCATTATGCACAAAACCATTCAGCAACTGCCAAACAAACTTGTTCTTTCATGTCCTATTCTGTCTAGATACTAGACAAACCCTAAAGGAACATGTTTCAAAAGTTTGGATTTGAGAAGTTCAAGTTCTAAATTAAATGTAAGCTCTTTTGAGACGGATGGAGTAATAACGATATGTTATTGACCTGTATTTGTAGAAGTCTGGCTCCATAAAGCTGCCTCCCTTGCTCTTCGAACAATGATTGAGGAATATCAACTTGAATCATCTGGAATTGAGTTTTAACAACAAATTACGATTCAAGAAAGAAACTTTTACTTGATTATTTAGAAAATTAAATACCTCTCGAAGCTGGTCAAGGATGGCGTTATCTGTTGCTTGATCTTTAGCTGTTTGCTCGAGTTCCAAACATCTCTCCAACAACGACTCCTTAACCTGCAAAATCCATATTCCAAAAAATCTCTAATCCAAGATATGAACCAAATAGTATCAAAACATGTTGTTCTTGAGCCGGGGGTCTTCATGGAAACAGCCGCCCTACTCTTCTGAATAGTGGTCAGATCTAAGTACATTTTACCCCCAGACCTAGGGCTGTAAACAACTGAACAAACACGAACGAATGCTTGTTCATGTTCGTTCGTTTGACTTAACCGAACAAACGAATGAACGAACGATTTTTTTTGTGTTCATGCTCGTTCGTTTAAGAAAATGTGTTTGTTCGTGTTCATTTATGTTTGTTCATTAAAATGCTAAATGAACGTAAACGAATGAACATAAATGAATGAACACAATTATACTAAAAGCAACCACCATTACTCATCATTTCATTCCTAAAAAATAACATAACAAAATGAAAACCGGGTAAACAGGAGAGATAAACAAAATTTCTAAAAATTTAATTTAATTAACTATTTCACATATTAATGTTATAATATATAAATATATTTATATATAAAAACGAACATAAAGAATCAACATTAACGGACATAAATGAACGAACGTTCACGAATGTAAATGAACGAATGAGACCATTGTTCATGTTCGCTCATTTAACTAAAAGAACAAAAAAAATATGTTCATGTTCGTTCATTTATTAAATAAACGAACATAAACGAACTTCCCGCCAATCGGTTCATTGAACGTTCAATTCGTTTACATCCCTACCCATTTTTTTTGTTTTGATGTTTAAACATGCTGATTAGCTGAAGTTCATGTGTCATAGACTCATATCTAACCTGCTCGATACTGGTGCATCCAGGAAGAAGCTTATCAGCAATGGCGTCGTTCATCTCTGGTAATTCTCTATAAAAGAGTTCTTTACATTCAACCTATCAATAAATTAAAAAAAAATATTCCTTAAATTTCTCTTTAGATCTTCAAGGGCTTTGCAGGAGGAGGAAACTTACAGTAAATTGACAAGGAAGACCACGAAGATCTTCTTGTTTCCATGACTCTGGAAATACAAGTGGGAAAGATTTTGTTTCACCTCCTTGAATTCCAATTATTGAGTCTAGAAAACCAGGAATAACTCTATCTCCGTCTTCCGTATCAAAATGGAAACCTGCAAATCCGAAGAACGAAGACGTTAGAGTGAAAATGCCAAAGAAATGAAGTTTGAATTAAGCCAGTGGATGAATACCTTTACTCTCAGCAGCTGGAACGTTTTTTACTTCTGATCCGTCTTGTTCTGCTGTTGTTGCTGATATATCCAGGACGGCAACGTCACCAACCTATGGCAAGTTGCCATTCAGTCAATTTTGTCAGTCCACATCGGCAAAGACTTGACCATTTCTCCTCAATATATGTTGGAACCTCACTTCGACCCTCAAGGGCTCTTTCGGAGAGTAATCTAATGAGGTTCCATATATTCTAACATGGTATTAGAGCCAAGGTACACCACTCTAGGGACTAGATACTCTGGGACAATTCATACTCGTCTGTCCCACTCTGGGACAATCAGTGCCCGTCTAGCCTCCATTGAAGGGGGGATGTTAGAGTCCCACAACGGCTTAGGGGATGTTTGGTTGGTTTTCCATTAAGTCCTGTATAGATATAGTCGTCTATGTGGATTAATCTATTTGTATAGATTCGAAAAGTTTTATTTGGGAGAGTTTTTTCATAGATGGAAAGAGTGTGCTTTTAATTGGGAGGGACAACCTTGGAAAAAAAACTTTGCTTTCCGCATAAAGCTTCTTCATAGAATCTTACTGAATAAGCTACTTTCTATATCATGAAGCCACTACCAAACAGTTCTTTATAGCTGACCAAATAAGCTGTAAGTCCCATTAAGCTACTAATAAACAGGCCCTTAGACTTGGACCATTTCTCCTCGCTATTTGAACTTGGGTTATCAGCTCTTCTGGACAGTAATTTAATGAGGTTCTACATATCCTAATACATTTCATTTCTAATTCTAATTTTGGGGGTTCCATTATCGGGATTGAAGGATAATGGAGAAGGAAATATACAGACTCAATTTCTATAATGAAATTTCAAATATTTTGTACATGAATTAGGAAAAATTAGTTGAAAATTATAAAAAAGGGACTCTAAAACATTAAGTACCTGTAGTCCTCTATTTGTGACGATTCTCATCGTACTTAAAGACTTGTAACGGCGTCTTAATTCTCGTTCAGCAGATGTTTTAGCATCTATCTCACTGTCAAGCTCAACTACGATCTTAAGATTCTTATAACCATCCTCTGGAATCCATTTCACTTCAGGTGCTACATCCACAATAAGCTCGTATCTATACCCACAAGTCATTTAAACATAAAAAACATGTGTAAATACTTTTAACCAGATACCTGTCTTTATTTAACTAGAACCATAAAACCTTCGACACACCTTAGGATGTTCAAAGAAGAATAAGTTTTTTCCATGTCAGCAAATGTGGTTGTAATGCGGATCGAGTCCTTCAAAGCCCGTCCATCTACCTGTGAAATAAAGATGCTCGATATTATGGCATACGTTAAGTTTGATCTTGAAAAAATAAATGAAAAAAACAGTTTACGTTAAGAAGTTTATGATTTCTTAAATCCAGTGTGTGCATAATGAACAAAGTCGATCATTTTTTGATTTCTAGCTCATCAAACTGTATTAATCTTTCTAGATAGACTGATCCGAAACACACTTTTCAGTTCAGAATTCATGTATTAGAAGATTGAAACAAGAAACACTACATACCGATGACATGGCATGTGGAAGAGTTCTCTTTAGAATAGCTTCAACAATCGCCTTTTGGACACCATCCTTCCCGATATAACTTACAAGAATACTTTCTGGAACTTTCTTTCCAGGGCGAAATCCAGGAACCTGAAGACATAGTCGCGTAATCCACCATTAGGAACATGGATGTTATGGAACTCACTGTTTCCCCAATACAGAACTCGATATGAGAACACAATGAATATGAAGTATGCAAAATATAAGTGAATCAAAAAATAGTTGAGAATTAGATGATGAAATCTAATTGTACCTTAGCCTTCTTCATAAACTCATTTATGACCCTTTTGTGACAATCTTCACATATGATAGATGGAACTTCTATGCTCAACCGAATCTGCACACTTTCCGAAGGTTAAAATGCATAAAATTTGACAATCACATAAAAACACATAACTCTGAATTGGGAAGGTAACATAGAGAAAGAAATGCAAGAAAACAAAACACCCGTATACAATACTCCTTTCTTTCCAGAAGAACAGCTACATTTTCGACATTTGATGAAATGCAGTAGTGTTAAATGCAAAATATGATTTTTCTCTCATATTCGACACCATTGTCCATTATTCTATTTGCAGTGTTTGTTTTAAAGCAACAGTAATAGTAATATCACTGTGGGGACCTTCATCAAACAGTTTGAATGCATATAAAGAGTTACTAAAAAACCAAATGAATGGCATATACCAAATCCGGTTTTCGTTCAATTATCTGTAAGAAAACAACGTAACTTGCTTTTACTAAGAAAAAAAGACAAAACTCAATCCATATAGTCCGGAATGAAAATGTTGTTAAAAGAAATTCGTAATTCCATTGAACATTACAATAAACTAGAGAAACTCACCCTGCAATTGGGCTCTTGCGTTTCTTGAACAACAAGATCGGCGGGTAAAGGCTCTTTGACGGTGTCGTTAGCGGCCGGTGGCGCGGAGGCCCTTGCACAGATTGATAACTTTCTTGGAGAATGAGAGAATTGGCGGCAAGCACGAGAAATTCTAAGAGAAGTGAATCCTTTGGCGGGTCTGAGCGAATTAGAGAGAGAAATCGACGAAATTGGAGGGGAAACAACACAAGATTTCAAATAGAAAGACGTTGGAGGAGCTGAACTGCAGAGCTCCATTGTTGCCCAGATGTTTGAAGCTCTGTTGAAGATAGCAGTCGCTGCTCAATGGATAGGATATTAAAATATGCGGATTGATTTTCGGGAAAAAAAAACTAAAAACTACGTAACTTTTTTTATGTAATAATTAACTAAAAATTATATTCAGGTTAGGCCACTGTACTTTCAGCTCATTTTCATTTATATCACAACTTATCACAACATTACAAGTTTAGTCCCTTTATAGTAGAGTGGGTTACAAATAGGGGTGCTCATGGATTGGATTGATCGGATTGAAGACATTTGAACAACTCAACCTAATGTTTGTGGTTTGGAAAAATCTTAACTCAACCCAACCCAAACCAAAATGCAACCCAACCCAAACCAAAATGCAACCCAACCCGTACGAGTTGGTCGGGTTGATACTTTGGTATGTTAAAATATTCTTCTAACCTTGAATATGTTATTTCTCTACTCATAATTTCTTTTTCATCATCAACCATTTGATACAACTTATCCATATTTTTTATGTATATTACATTCAGTTAAATTTCTCAATTTACATATATATGTTCACAGTTACTGAACATATATATTAATGAGTTATATAAAGATGTGAATAGACTGAAAATATGTCTATATGAAAAGCATACATAATAGTGTAATTGTCTAATGTATATATTAATAGAAATTCAACAATCATATTAAATTCAATAAATAAAAAGATATCGGGTTCATCAGGTTGGGTTGGGCTGGGTTCAAATAATAGTAACCCAATATCAATTCAATACCTACGGTTTGATAATTTTACAATTCGATTAGACATCAGGTTGCTTCGGGTTGGATTATTTCGCGTTAGATACGACCAACCCAGTTAAAATAAATGTTTTAGAGAATATTGGAACAATTAGATGCAAATCCTACGAAGACGACATTTTTCTTGAAGTAAGTTTTGTTCGTACAGGTTTGGGAGGATGACTATTTTCAAGCTTTGCCATAATTGGTCCATCAAGTATGCCTTTTATCATTTTACACCCTTCAAAACATTTAAAAATTAAAATATCTATTTTTTTGTTTGTTATTTAATATTATGGTGGGGTTAGCCTGAATTAGGCTTCTGAACCCGAACCAAGGCGTAGTAAGCCCCAGTCGGTCCTTTCGCTAGCAACGAACCATGGTTCCCTTTCTCCACCACCTTCCCTTTCTCCAAAACCGCAATCGTATCGCAACTTTGGATCGTACTCAGCCGGTGCGCCACCACCACGCTCGTCCGCCCCACCAACATCCGCTCCAGTGCGTCTTGAACCACTTTCTCCGACTGACTATCCAACGCGCTCGTGGCCTCGTCTAGTAACAGAATTGCGGGGTTTTTCAGTATGGCACGAGCTATAGCAATGCGTTGCTTTTGTCCTCCGGAGAGTTGGACCCCTCGATCTCCGCACCATGTATCGTACCCGTCTTTCAAAACCGCTATGAAATCATGAGCATTGGCTGCTTTTGCAGCTTCGATGATCTCCGATTCCGAAACTTCCTCTGATGCCCCGTAGATGATGTTTTCGTGTATAGTACCAGCGAATAATGTCGGTTCTTGGCTCACTAGTGCGAAGTATTTCCTTAGAGTTCTTAAATGGTACGACTTTATATCTCTTCCATCGA